TGATATCTCAATTACTGATCATCACATTTGAATAAAATTTGGTACATAAATGCTCTAGGACAATAGACAGGCCTGATTAATTTTGGGTTAAAATTTGTTCATATTAATTCTCTAATTAGCATAATAATTCATAATTTTTTTGTTCTGTTCTGTTCATATTACCGGTAGTTACCTGATGTATATAATTAGTTTACAGCTTTTCCATCAATATCTCATGTACAAGTAATTTTTAATTAATTTTTAATGTGTCTTCAATACTCTCAGCACACGGGAGTTCTTTCTAAGCTTTCTTTGATTGATAATTCTAAGGTAAAAGCATTCCATGGCTTCCTTGGGGCCAAAAGTACTGTCAGACAGGTCACAGTTGAAGACTGTGGCCACATGTGAGCCCTGATCAATCAGAATTTGACGGTTGCCAGAGGATCTGCTCCCCAGGGTAAGGGGCGCTGTGCCCCTGTTCCCTTGTTTAAAAAAATCCCTACTGAATGCTGATGTCCTCCGTAGTGTATTTATAACTGTTGCCGTTTTGAAATAATGTACTTTTTGTGATATTTTTTCTTTGTTTTAATTGAGAATTCTTTTAATGTTCATTCAGGATTTATTTTCATTTGGTGATGTAGATGGTAAAGGTATAGATGCTAAATTACAACATCCTTTGGGTGTTGTGTGGAATCCAAAAGATGAAATGGTCTATGTTGCTGACTCCTATAATCACAAGGTATGTGTAAAATTCATGTAATAATGGTGGGTTTGGGTGTCTGTGAACCAAACACCAGTAGTGATATTTGCACTGAGCCTGTGGTGTAGTCATTTCCTCCGTTCAAATGCTTCCTGAAAATAAACACAAAAAATTGCCCCTTTAACCAGTGCAAGTGTGCCGCAGACTCAATAGGGAGGTAAAATCCACAGGCCGAGATCAACTAGTGGATGCAACTTTGTATAATGTCTGCAGGTTCTTGTGTTTAGCCGGGCCTAGTTGACACCAGGATAGCTCATTAAATTTGATTGATTGGTGTCTGCACAGCTCTGTCTTGTAGTCCCATATATGGATATGGTTTCTGTGGCAAAATTGTATGTATTTATTGCAGTTTTTGTCTGTCACAAATTATATTATAAAAAAAACAATTTTGTCTTCCGTCTACTTTGTTTTTTAGATTAAAATAGTGGATCCTGTGAAGAAAACGTGTAGTACCTTGTATGGTAGTGGTAACTGGTAACACTGGTGGAGATGCTGATTGTGTTGAATTCAATGAACCTAATGGCCTATGCGTTGATACACGTGATGATAAATTATATGTTACTGACACAAATAACCATACTATTAGAATTATCAATTTACAAAATAAACAGGTTTCTGAAGTAAGTTTTCATAAGTGATTTAACAATAAAATTGCTTCTTGTAATTTATTTGTTATTCTAACATAATATGGCCCGTGATGCTGAATGACCAATTGTGTTTTCTGTTGCCATAGTTTTTTAGCTCTGCTGTCGACTTTGTCAAGCGGAGCTTATCATATGAGTGATTGTCCGTCGTCGTCGTCCGTGTCAATGTTTTACTTTTTCGACTTCTTCTTGAAAACTACAAGCCTGAATGTTTTGATACTTGGTGTATATGTACCTTGGGTAGACCTCTCTGAGGTTTGTTCATTTCATGTTGATATCTTCAATTCTCTAATTTTGGTGAATATTTTTGTCATTTTTGGTAAAAAGTGATATTTTCGACTTCTTGCTAAAAACTGTAAGTCTGATTGCTTTGATATTACATATATAGGTACTACATGTGGACCTCTCTCAGATTTGTTCATTTTGTGATGATATCTTCAATTCTCTAATTTTGCTGAATATTTTTGTAATTTTTGGTAAAAAGTGATATTTTCGACTTCTTGTTAAAAACCAAAACTTCAATTGCTTTGATATTACATATATAGATACTACATGTAGACCTTTCTCAGATTTGTTCATTTCGTGATGATATCTTCAATTCTCTAATTTTGGTGAATATTTATGTCATTTTTGGTAGAAAGTGATATTTTCGACTTCTTGTTAAAAACTGTAAGTCCGATTGCTTTGATACTATACATATTGTTCATTTTCTAATGATGTCTTCAGTTCTTTAATTGAAATGTGCATTGCTAACAGCGGAGCTATCTCAGCCGATAGGCTGCTTGTTTTGAATTTTTGTTGAAAACAGCAAGTCCCATTGCATTGATACTATGCATATTGTTAATTTTCCAATGATATCTTCTGTTCTATAATTGAAATGTGCATTGCAAACAGCGGAGCTATCTCAGCCAAGAGGCTGCTTGTTTTGTAATTGTACTCTAAATTTTAATTTGAACTTTTTTTTTGAGGAATCGGTATGGAAATATGTACGAATATTTCATGAATGATAAAAATGATTTTAAATCAAATTTGAATGACAGAAAAAAGTAAGCATTTCAACGTGTTGACATTGTGCATCATAAACTATTGTGATATCATGTATGCTGTCTTTAAAATATTTTGTAATCATTCATTATTTGCATAATATTGTATTTAATTTATTTTTGCAGTTAAAAGTTGTATTCGTAAGTGAAAAGTCAAAAACTGAACTTGACATGGATCGTAAGAAACGTGCACGACTGACCCCTATGAGCACACCAATAGATAGACAAGACACATTGTATGTCTGCCCTGGAACATGTATAAATATACAATTAGATATACAGTTATGCCATGGATTGGTTTTAACACCGGAGGCACCCACTGGATGGCAGATATTACCAAATGATGGTGAGTGTGTGACTTAATTTTCATGCACATTTAATACATGATTTAAAAAAGGGAAATCTGAGGTATTTTGTGGTCCAGTGAACTTTGAATGGACTGATTCTATGAAGGAAAAAGTTTTTTTTTTGTGAAAAAAAGATGTTTTATGGTTAAATTGTTTCTATAAGTCAAGGTACAAATTTTGCACACCCAATCACCTTTTTTGGTGGTGCACACGCTGACCAGAAACAATTTTGTTTTTTTTAGGCCTAACCATTTGAAAGCCAAAGCTTTTTCTTATTTTATGAAATAAAATATATTTGTTCAAATATGTTAATTTGCCCCAAAATTAAATCAGTAAAAGTCTACAAAATTTTGGTTGGAAAAGTTATAAAATACAACGGGTTAAGCTGATGAGCCATCATCAAAGTTTACTGTTGATGTCTCATTGATAGTTTGAGTAGGTACATTTCATGCATCTCAGATGAACGACTGACATAATTACCGGTACACCCAAAATATGGTTGTCTGAGTACAGGAAATCATGGTTAGCTGTGCGAGTCTCATATCTATAAAGTATATAATGTGTCTGTAAGTTGCATGCATGAATGAATGAATGAACAAACAAATGAATAAACAAGTTAATCATAATAACAATAACGAACGAATCAATGAAAGAATGAATGAACAAGCTTTATTTCACCAGATGCAGTTTTATAATAAATATCATTAAAAATGATAAAGTTAACCATAATAACAATAATATCCACAAAAATAATGGCCTCTGGCGTGGTCACAGAAATAGTTTAATCCAGTCTAGTCTGTCGCCCAGGTTTCTATCAAGATATTAAGCAATTAAACATAAACTATAAAGCATTAACAGGATAATAAAAAATTATTTGCAATCGTAAGTACAACGTTATTTACTATTCTATGAAATTTTCTGACCCGTGTGGTTCCAATTTCAGATTGTAAAAACAACATCTTGCTTGACTGATTTGCAAATAAATATCTGTGTGTTATACTGAATATGAGATTGAATTTCAATCTATAAAACATCAAAAGCATTGATAAGAAAATTATTTTTCTAATCATTTGTAAACTTACCAAATCATGACTGGCATTTATTGTATTTGTATCAAATTCTTAGAATTCATGAATTTAATTTGATTTTGACCTAATATATGTGTTAACCGATTAACCGCATCATGTGATACAAATGATGATCGGTTCAGCATGATGTGGGAACATGAACAGTAAATTAATGGATGAGACTTGTTTTTTTTTTATCTGTTTCAGATGACTTGTGTAATGAATTGTTTGCCTCTGTACAAAAACTACGAGGTAAGATGCCCAATATCAACCAGCAGCCAATGATAAAACTACAAGTACCTTCTACCTACTGTGCCACAACTACATCATTCAAGGTGGAATGTATCTTATATTTCTGTGAGAACACTGGCAAATGTCACATGAAAGGAATTGTATTTGAGTTACCAATTAGAGTTGGTGAGAAAGTAGATGATAAACTTACAGTGAATGTTACACTACATAAAGATATCTCTCTGCAATAAGCTTCCAGGAAATTAAGTCATGTGTTACATGTGTCTTATCATCTTACCCAAACATATTGACACCCTGATACTGTAAAACCATTTATTTTCACTCAAATTTAATTTTACTATTTTGATATTTTAAGCATTTTAACTGGGTTTTAAATTCATGAATTTGTCAGTAAAGAAATGAGTTATAATGTATTTTTATGTGGATTTCATTCAGAGAAAATAGGAAAATTAAAACCCAGTGAAGAATATACCGATATTTACATGTGAGGACAGTGTATCAATATACTTAAAATATAATTGGCATAGTTGTGATCGACAAGATTTAGTCATTTATGTATGAGTTGAGCAGGTTTGTTGATGATGTCACTCATGACTAATCAGCTACCAGTTCTCATGGTTACTTAAAACACACGTTTCCAGTTAAAATTCAGTCTGTTCTTGTCAGATAACGATAGACTTGCCATTGGAGTACATTTCTGAACACGTTTTGCCATGAATGACTCTTTTTTAGCTTTGTATAGTCTGTGAACCATCATCAAAATGACATCACTCTGATAATAACTAATTTTTAAATCTTGGGGTATTTTGATTTCTTCCATCCTCTTTTTATATACATACCAATAAAGCGCATGTCATAAGTGGCTGAAATACTTAATGTAAATAGGAGAGTATAGATACTTTTTATATGTGAATGGATGGCCATTGTTGTGAAGTCATTTGATATTAAAGTTTTTCAAGTTTCTTTCTACTTGAATATAACTATACAGTACTGTTTGCTAAGCTTTAGTTCTAGTGACAGCAGGCAAGACCAGGTTTTCAAAAAGACAAGTGATTGAAGCCATGTATTGATGGGTGTGTTTACCGGTATTTAGTATTTAAATAATTTTTTATGATAGAAAGACTAGATTTTTTTAATATTGTAAAACATTTATTTTTTATGTGACACATTCATTGTTTGTTTCTTATGCACTTACATTGACAGATTAAGCTCAAAATACCAGTTTTAGTAAATTGTTCTTAAGAAACAAGTACCGTATCTTCCATCTTCCAAGTTTCAGCACTGTCTTCCTTAACTTTCATATTATAATTGTGTAGTGATTCTAGAATCATTCATTGGAGAATAAATTTTCTGTGTTACACTGCCTCACATGCAGAAATGTCTGTATATTGATGTAGAAATCACACCTCTCTCTGTATTTTCTTAGAACATGTATTTTATTTTGCATTGCACCTTTGTGGGTGTGCCCATGGTAATCACACATTATAACACAGCTTTTTGTGGAAGCACTTTCTTAACCAGCTGGCCAACATACATTCATTTCTTGTTAGCATGTCCATGGCAACGACACAGAAGAAGTATTTCAAGGAAAGTACAGTACACTGAATATGAATAGTGACAAGATATTTATATTTACCTGCCAGTGCACCCTGACATATTTTAACCACAACCTGTGATACTTACCTATCAGTGCACATTGAAGCAGGGGAGTTGTCACCTGAGTATGCGTCAGATGACCATAGCGTGTCGTTATTTAAAAACAAACATCTACCCATGAGCCTTTGCGTTTTTAGAGCATGTTGTTAGCGTCACTTGGGACTCAATTCTTGCATGTGGCTGGTGACGACTCCTTCACGTTAACACATTTCTATCTGATGGTGATATTTAGCTGCCAGTATACCCTGACACATTTCAAGCAAGCAGTAACTGTCGGTGCACCTCATCAAATTTTTACTTCATCAACTCTATATTCTTGTCAGTTGTGCAACTAATATAGAATACAGGTTTAAAGAAAGTTTTAGAACACTCTTTATGCATGGAA